ATCTCCTTGAAACTGCATGACAATTGGTACTCCATGTACTTCTGTATTAAGTGCCCTCGTGCCTCATTGTAGGAACACTGGGAATCCAGCATATTTAAGTAGACATCAGAAAATGACACACTAGATATTAAAGAATAAATGAGCAATTGAAAAAGTCAAGAAGCAAAATAAGCAATTAAGCCAAAGTGCAAAGATGCAGTTCATATCTGAAAGAGAACTTTCCAAATCCTCTTACAAGTGCACATGTATTCTGTCCAGAGTTCGGTAAACATTGAAAGGTACATGGCTGTTCTTTTATTCCATCCTTGTAAAGGTTTCTCCCTTGTCATCTTCTGTGACTTTATCTTGTGAACCAAATTCATGCATTTCCATCTAGATTTTTTTTTAATTTATTTATTTGTGCATACAAGAACTGAAGTACAGGCCAGTGGTTAGGGAGTGAGAGGATTCACCAGAGACAGAGGGGGAGCAGAATGTTTGGATTGACTGAAATACACTGCTGAGGGGAGCGGTGGGGGAGACAGGACAGGTCTGCTGTGCCATGTGGGTCAGCTCCCTGGGAGCGAACTTGTGCTATAATAGCTGGGATCGCGTTCTAGTGCTGAGACTTAAGCCCTTCCTTGGGCCACCAAGGAGGTCCTTAGGTTATTTTTTAGGGGGTAAAAATACAAGAAAAATATTTGGAGGATCTCTGCCTCTATATGAATATCATTAGTCAGGAAAAATAAACAGAGTAGGCCAATGAGTGGAGCTCAGAAGTAATGTTCAACCACAAGTTTTCAGTGTTATAAACTTGTATTCTGCAGAGTATAATTCCCAGTTACAAGTCCCCACATATCAAGTGATTGGTAATTTGCAGGCAGCTGAACACCTCCAATCGTTTACCAGGAAATTGATAAGAAACAAAATAAAATGATACAAGGGTAATCATCTGTTGATTCAACCCAGCATTATAGGAGAATAAGGGACAACACATTTTCTAAAAATTTTGAAGTAAGCATTGCTAGTGAAGCATATCCAGCACTCATCAGAATGTGCCATTACTGATTGTCCTAGCATGCCTGGAAGAGAGGGGTGTTTATTTTTAAACATATAAACAATGTACTTATTTATGACAATCAATTTAGCTGCTCTATTTTTTCTTTATCATTTCCTTAATGAAAAGTCAATTAGTATGTTCTTATTGTTTGTAAGACAATGATAACTTTTAATACTGAGTACATAGTTTCATGAGAGGAAATGTGAAATACATAATTTCTAATTTGGTTTGTAGAAATATAGTTTACCTAGTCTTATGTATGAGGTTAGGTTTCATAGTTTTGAAAATAAAATGTTACCATTGAATTATTTGCTACATATGTACATGTATGTAACCTCAAGCATATTTGCACTTAATGGTAAGGCAAGACTGAAATAAAAATAACTGTGTAAACACATAAAGGAAGAGCTTTGTCTTTTTAATTGTGACTTCCCCATTTATGGTCTTGAATGATTGCATTAGAAACACCTGTGACAAGCCCTCCCTCCTGGTGCAGTAGGTTAAGGCAAAACACTGCAAGGTATCCATAGCCACTTCAGTGAAAGTTCAATTACCAGCCCCTGAGGTGACCCACAGGGTGCAGCAGTCCTCTCCTGGCCCACTAGCTGCTCCCCTCAGCAGTGTACTTCATCAATCTGCCTGTTCTGCTCCTTACTCTGCCTCTGGTGAATCCTTTCACAGTCTCTGCACCTCTGGCCTGCACTCCAGATCTGTATGTACAAATAAAAAAACCTTAAAAAAAAGAAAAGAAACACCACCTGTCATAATTGTTATGGACTAAGTAATTTTATGTGCCCAAATTCACATGTTTAAGCTCTAACTCCAGTGTGATGGTATTTTGAGGTAGAACCTTTGAGAGGTAGTTAGAGTTGGATTAGGTTGTGAGGATGGGACCGTTAGCATGGGATTAGTGACCTGAATAAAGTGATGAAAGGTCTCCTACACATGTATGAAGGAAAGCCCAGATAGAGAGATAAGAAGAGGGCAGTTGATTGAGAGTAAAGAACTTTCCCAGGAAAAGAATCAGCGGACATCTTTATCTTCCCTGCCTCCAAAGTGTGGGCAATTAATTTCTTTCTTTTTTTTTCTTTTTTTTTTTTTTGACCACCTGGTTTATGGCATTTTGTTCCTGCAGCCTGAGCAGATTAATACAGTAATCAACTGGACCTCTAAGCAGACCACATAATCTCCAGATTGCTAAATTGCAGTCTCTGGAAGCTGGGTCCCAGGCATTTCCTGTTTAAAGAAACGTCAATCGTAGTCAGGTTTGAAAACCGCTCACACTATTCTAAAAATTAAAATGACTGAATCACCCAAGTCGGTTCAGTGTTTAGAGTGAAAGAAAGAGATTTAGCAGCTTAGAAAGGATGGGAAGAAGTTAGGATGTCCTGGAAAGACCAGAATATAAAGTTACTTTGCTGAGACAATTTCCTAGTTAACTTAGATTTCTTTTTTTTTTTTTATAATTTATTTATTTGTGCATACAGAACTGTGGTACAGGCTAGAAATGCAGAGGTGGTGGGAGAATTCACCAGAGACAGACAGTGGGAAGCAGAACAGGTGAATCCACTGAACTACACTGCTGAAAAGAGCAGCAGGAGGCAGAAATCTGCTGCGCCCTGCAGGTCCCTTCCCTGGCCGGGTATCGAACTCATGCTGAAGCTGCTCGGGCTAGCTTCCTAGTGCTGCGCTTTAACCTGTTGCACCAGGGAGAGCCCTAATTTAGATTTAATTAATCATTCTGCTTTATGTTTTTATTCTTCAAATGAAGATAAAATTGCCGACTCAATATGTGTTTAGGGTGAAAGGAATGTTTGATAAATCTAGTAACTTGGCAGTTTCTCTGCAGGATATAAGGATGAAGGATCAGGACTATTCATAATAGTGCTGTGATTGTACAAGGGGTGTTAAAGTCTGTGACACATTGTTATCTGTCTGCTTCAAATAAGCAGGTAGTATATTAATAGTTTACACTTTAAAATTAGAAACAATTATATATGTATATATATATATGTATATATATAGTGTGTATTATATATATATATTTCAATTTTACAACTTTAAACATTTCATTGTAAAACATTATTCTAGACAATAATCTCATATGTCTACAAACCACAGGCAAGTCCCAATTATAATGTATTCTTTCTAGAATAGCATCTTTATTTTCCTCCAAATATTTGAAAGTATATATTTCTTTCATAAAATATTTTCATAAATTTTTGGCTTGTTCATTTCTGCATCAATTTAATTTTTGTATATAATTATCATGTGTGATAAAACATTGTTCTATTTAATAAGAATGCTTGAGGCTTTTTCATATGCATGAAGTAGATGAATCATTTATCATCATATTATTATAATTTTCTTTGATAAGGATATTTTTCATTTCTGTTTAGCTTCAGGAAAGTTTTCCTGAACACCCTCAATTAAATATTCACAAATTTCAAAAGTTGGGGGACTTTTCCCCTGATGCCTGAGGTTCGCCTTTCAAAGCCACATCATATCCAATCAATTCAGTAAAAAATAAACAAGAGGAAAATGGCAGTCCTATGTTCAATATTTAAAACTACTAATGAACTATCCCTTGCTACTTTTAAAGATGCTATAAACTTGAATACACCACCCCTTTTCTCTCATTTGATCATGATATTTTCTGTAGAAGTGCTTATTAAACTCTATAGTTGACAATTGCTGCAATTGTCACTGTTCTGTGAATTATACTGCTAACTAATGAGATGTGTATCCAGCTCCATTGGCATCAATATCAAAAGCTAAGTAATACAAATATTTTTAATAAGAATAAAATGTGATGTTTAAGCATTTACCAATATTTGAAATAGCAAATATGTTTGGAGTAACAGTGTTCGGAGTAGCAAAAAATATGTATTTATTTCATATTTGCATGCATTATTATATATTATATATGCGTAAATTATGCATTATTATATATATGTGAATGTAATTTATACATGTGTTTTGGTATTTCATATTTGCATGGGTTATATAATGTATACATGTAAATTATACATATTTTACATACTTAGTTATAATAAACAGTTCATCTACATGAGAACTGTTATTTTATGACATAGTTAAGTCCTTGTGTAAACTAGACCCTTTGCAAATGTGTTTCAGTTTTGAAATTTAAAGCTCCATTGACAAAAACTATATAATTTGTGTGTGTGTGCACACGTGGGTATGTGAGCATATACTATATGCTATATTTTTATTGAATAATCTGAAATATCATTAACTGACTCCTTTGGCTCTGTAATATAAAAAAATATGACTTTAAGATGTGATTTTTTATGTTAATCTTTTCACTTTATTTTGCTTGTGTGTTCTGTTCCATTCTTATTGTAATTGTTACTTCCTCATAAAAATAGTAATGTCTCAATATTGATAAATGTTAAATGCCTCCTGTCTGTCATCTTTGTTTGATTGTCCACACTGCTCAACTTTCTACTATCAAGCTTTGACAATCTTGTTAGGAAACTATGCAAATTATCCTGTAAAGAGGAAAACATTTGTATGTGCTCAAGTTCTCTCAACTGACATTTTTGGGGAGCCTAAGGTGAATTGCAGGGCACCCTGGTCCTCACCCAAGGAACCCAAAGAGGTGGAGATCTTCACTTGCTACTAATAGAATGGTTTGCAACTTTTGGTTGTAAACAAATGTTTCAAAAGACAGTCTTAGTAACACAGCTAGGGTTCTGTCTGTCTCCACAGGCTGGGTGTTTCAGTGGTGAGAGAGCTATGCCCACTGCAACTGAGGGGGAAATCCTAACTGATCGACAAATACTAAGGATATAAAACAATGATACTCAAGACGAATAAAAATAATTATTAAAAAATAATTGATTTAAAAATCCATCTCTTTTGAGAAAAAAAGGAGCAATCTAGACAACTTCACTTTTAATGTATAACACACTTCTGTTGTTTTTAATACATGTTGCAGGAGTTATTAGGACTGCCTTACATAATATGGACCGAGAAGCCAGGGAACACTACTCCGTGGTCATTCAGGCCAAAGACATGGCTGGGCAAGTCGGAGGGCTTTCGGGGTCAACGACAGTTAACATCACTCTGACAGACGTCAACGACAACCCCCCACGCTTTCCTCAGAGTATGTACCTGTTTCTTATGATTTGCATTTCACTACTCACATGTGAAAAACAAGTGCTTCAATGGATGTTATCTTCCTGTTATCGTGAATAGAACCACTTGATTTTGTTCCATGTGTTTTTTTGTTTGTTTGTTTTGTTTTGTTTTTTAATAAAACTGAAGAAGTCACTCCACTTGCTATCTCCTGAATCTGGTAAGTAATCGGAACTGTATTGAAGGTACACATTCCAGTTAGCATCAAACTTAAATACCAAAAAGGATGTAGTTGGACTTAATAATGATTCCTGGCATTCACTAAAATTGGCATGTAGTATATGTAGTACTAAGAAGATATTTGCAAACAAATATGTGTACATACATTTCGATAAGGGCATTTTCAGCATGAAGGTTGATTTTATGAATACTTCTTGTATTTTATGAATACTTCATTCTACCAATGAGCACTCTCTCTCTCCCCCCCCCCAAAAAAAAAAGAGGATATAGGTAACAAAACAAACTAGGAGGTAATTTGCAGGGAGAATAAAAATTTTGTGGATTTGGAAGGAAACAGTTAATATGGCATCCCCAAAATAGGGAGGCATAAATTGGAGGCCATTTTATATAATAATTGCTATTTGTATAAGAAACTTGCTGGGGAACTATCTCTTCTGTCCATCTAACACAGGATATGTCCACACTATAACGTGGCATGTCTAGACCATTCAGTCAGTGTGGAATGCCTCCCCCGTCTCTTAATAAAGTTCTCAGTACTCTCCAGGTCTAGCCACCCAAGAACTCTGCCTGTCCCTGAGACATAACACATATTTGTACATCTTTTAAACAACCGAGTACTCTCCTCTGTTTGAGTCGTTTTTAGATAACAGGGAGTTAATTAATCCTTTTCATGTTCTTGTATGCTTGTTTTTATTCCCTAGAGTACAGAGCTCTCTACTTCTAGAAGTCCCTCCTAATAGGAATACTAGAATTGTCTTTATAAACTGAAGTGTTCAGATCATGCCAGTCCTTGATAAATGACTACAAGTGAGTGAGTGTGTGCATTGAATTTAAAGGTGATTTCCTAAAAGGCTATTCTTAGAAGACATGTAGGTCAAGTTCATAGTTAGGTGAAAAACATCTAAAAATATTGGTACTAGAGATAAGATCATGTGAATGGTTCATTCATGGGGTTATTGCTGTATAGGAAATTATGTTTATGAACGTTAGAAGTTATTGATATGTCATGCTGTATTAAGCCATCAACTATAAAGTGACTGTTAAGACTTCCAACAATGCACAATATGCTCTTATTTGACCAATTAATCTACAAAACATGTATGATATATGAATCACTAGGAAACATGCACTATTATTTTATCAGATGCAGAACTGAAGTTCAAAGTTTTATTTTGATATTGCTGTGCTTTAACCCACTGCGCCGTCAGGGAGTGCCCTCAAAGTTTTTATTTTATTTATTTGTTTGTTTGTTTGTTTGTTTGTTTGTTTGTTTGTTTGTTTATTTATTTATTGTTAAATCAGCAGCTCTATCCCAGTTAGGCTATACCAGCAACATTCTTTCCTGTTTTCTTTTATAAGCTTTTTGTGTTCTAGTGAAGAAAAAGGAATGAATGATTGATGCTAAGCCCAACTAAACATGAGCTTGACTGTAACTTACAGCACTAATCTGTCCACCTAATTTTCAGTAGCTTTTATCACCACAATTTTGAAAGGTATAGCGATGTTCTAGGTCTTAATAGAGTGAAAAATCAAATTATACAAATTAGAGAATCATGAAATGCTTTATCATACAGATGCATTTCCCACTCTTTCCATCACTCACCTTTTCTCCATAAGCCAATTTCTAAATGTACAGTGTAAAATTGATTTTAGAAATCAAAATTCAGGAACGGTAGTATGTGGAGGGGAACTGTGGGCACCTTGGTGGTGAGAGAAGTCCTATATTATGAAACAGTAGAGGTGTTAAAAAAAAAACAAACACAAAGTAAAATCATTCTATACAATAAAAAATACAGAAAATGGTATTTTTGATGAATATACATTTTCATAGTTTTTATTATTGCAGGATTATTGTTGAGGTATCAGTTCGTAATAAAACAGTTCTTTTACCCAACAAAGAAACAGAATAAGCCATACCCTGAGTGAACTCGTTATTTCTAATGTGATCTACTTGTTTCCTGTCTGTAATACTTAGTCTTTGCAGAATAACTGAAATATGTCAATCTCTCCATGCTTGGAATTGCACTCAGTGTTTTGAAATAGACAGAACAAAACAGAACCTCAACTCTGACTTTTCAAGAGCTATTTTATTTTGAACATAGATTACACCAAGCACACAGCTACTTTTAGAGTGATTGGTTGTCACCTTAGCAAAAGTAACTGGCAGTAAAGTATTTTTTACCTATACACACTATATCTCATTAAATGGGTATATCTATTTATATAGATTAAGTGTGTAAACACATGCACACACATTCAGTGGCCTAGAATAAAAGCCAAATAAAACAATATATACAACATAATGAAGACTTGCATTCGTGAAATGTACAATTCTATATAGAGTTTAAATGTAAAATAAAATGTATCATAGCCAGTCACTAAATGAGTCCAGTAGTCTTAATTTTTTTTTTCTGAAGATGTATTTTTTTTACAGTTCCCTTTCTGAGACTTATCTCTCTTCACCTACCTGAGAGAGCTGTCTAACTTACACCTTTGCTGTGATGGACTCTGTATAAATATCCTACGCACAATGTGTTCCAAAAAACATTCTCTTTGGAGCATTATTTTTCTTGATCTTTCTTCTAGAATCTACTCTGTTCTGCAAAAGGAAGTGAGCTCATTACATCTTGAATCTTAATCTGAAGCAATCACGGTATTTACAATTTAAAGTAAATAAGTTTTAATAAGTATATGAAACTCAGATCGTGAGTTGGACTAGCAATTTGCTTTCCAAAGTCTTTAGGTAGTTGCAAATTCACAGCCATAGAATAGGTGAAAGATAGTTAAAGGCATTAGTAGCAAAGAGATGCTATCAAAGAAAATAGACTGGATGTTCCCTTCCTGGTGGCAGGACAGATTAAGGGCACCAATGTGGAGCTATTGGCAGCCTCTGCAGCATGAGTTTGATTCTTGGCCAGGGAGATGACCCTCATTGCTGCAGACCTCTCCTGTCTTACCTGTTTCTTCCCTCAGCAGTGTTGTTCAGTCAGTCTGCCTGTTCTGCTCCCCACTCTGTCTCTGGTGAATCCTCTCACCCACCTGCACTCTGGCCTGAACCCCAGCTCTGGTATGCATAAATAAATAAATCTTAAACAAGAAAGTAGACTGGATGTTGCTGGTCTTGGCACAGGGACAGCCACTGTTAAATGCCAGGTAATGGCAACAGGTCGGGAGGAAAGGGTTAGGGGCTGAATGACTGAGAAGATTCATAGTGGCAGAGAACAAATCCACTCATCTATGGCTTGAACACTTGACTCAAAGGATTCAAGGTTTATAGTTATTCTTGCTTCTAACTGTTTTATAGTAATTCTCTGTTTTTCATGACGTTGTAGTTATTTTACAGTTACTGCTTAATTTATTCTTAGGTCAGTAAAACCTCACTGACAACTAGTATTCTATATAAAGAAGATGCATATAAAATTCAGTAATTTGCATGAGGGTTCATAAAGCAAGGCCTTCTGTATGTTAATGTTTGCTCCAGATATTAGTTTATTTATTCTACCTGAAATTTTAATGTTCTCACTTGAAAAATGGAATAGCTTTAGCACTGTTTACACTACTGCCAGTTTACTGCCAGTTGTTTCCCTGGTTCTTCTCAGTTCCTTTCTTCTCAGTTCTTTTCTGCTTATTTTTCTCCTCCCTTAAGATTTGATGTTTTTCTTTAGGAGTGTACTTAGGTTCCCTTCTGTCTTCTTTTGTGTTTTTACTAAAAGGTTTTGACTTCGTGGTAACATGACATTTGGAAAACAATATCTATGCATATATTAAGATTTGAACACATTTGGAAACCATCAATTTTACCCCTCCCCCCACAATTAATAGTTTTGATATCAAATTTTATATCTTTATATATTTCTGTTGACTGATTATTGTAACTTAGTTATTTTTTGGACTCTGTTCTTTTATTCCTTTAAATATAGATTTTTGTGTTTTTCTTCTTGCCTAGAAGAGCTGGGGTATAGGCCAGAAGTATGGGGGTGAGAGGATTCACCTGAGACAGAGTGGGGAGTGGAACAGGCAGATCTACTGAAACACACAGCTGAGGGGAGAGCAGGGAGACAGGAGAGGCCAGCTGCACTATGTGGGTCAGCTCCATGGCTGGGGGTCAAGCTCCCACTGCAGTGGCTGCAGATAGTGTCATAGTTCTGAGACTCAAGCCAGGCACCTCCAGGGAGGGCCCTCTACTACACGAATTTTCTTAAAACGGATTGATTTTCTAGTCAACCCAGTATATTAACTCTATTAATTGCAGGCTTCAGTGTTGAATCCTTTAGTTCTATAATTTCCCTTTGTTTATTAAATATAATTTATTAATATCTGCAAAAATTATCTAGATTTCTCTCGAACACATTTATCGTAGTGAACTTTTCTAAGAATGGTCATGTCTAGGCCATTTTATTTTCTTTTCAGCTTTGTTCAATTTCATTTTTAAATAATCCTTGGAATTATTGATTAGACATTACATATTAGCAGTTATAGAAGTTTATGTTTCTCCCATCTTCCTCCAGAGAGGAATGAGCTTTGCTTATAGATGTATAGAATACAGATTACTGATGTACCGATATTTCCCTTATTCCTCAAAATTAATTCTTACTTCAAAAATGTATTTCTCTGCAGTATTAGCTAGAGTCTCAACCATTTAACAACTCTGATTCCCAGGGTCTGATGGCTGCTGAAATCTGCTTTTCTGACTTCCAGCTTGGCTTTCTCTGTTTCTTTGTATCTCCACATGTGCTAAAATAACACAAGGAAAACTTGATCCTGATTTTTGGTCTCATTTTTCTCCTT